AAAAGAGGAGGGAAGAGGAAAAGAAAAGAGCCTTCCGTGTGAAGTGGTAGGAAGAATCATGGAGAATTCAAGAAGCTGAGCCAGTGTCTTTGGAAAGCAAACAGCCAAGAGGAGAGAGATCTAGTGAACTAGGTAAAGTAGGGAGACAGGACCAGGGACAGGGCCTTGGAGACAAGGTGAAGGTTTTGATCTTTCTCTAGACAGGAAGGGGGATCCAACAGATGGCTTCAAGCTGGGAAGTGACATGATCAGATTTGCCTTCTGAAAAGATCATTTTGGTTTGTAGCTGGACCTCCAAGCTGGGCCAGAATGATGGGTGAGGAGCCATGAAGACAACGGCAGGATACAGCAATTGTACATTAAAGAACCTAGAACATGGGCACATAGGTGTTGAATGAAAATTTCTTTCAATTAGTCTGTATATCTGAAATTTTTCCATGATAGAATTTTGAGGAAAAAAATTCCTAACTTCAAATGGAAAATATACCACATCGTCTATATAATATCCTTGCCAAAATGTTTAACATGAAACTTATCATGAAGAGACAAATCTAAACTGTGGATAGTCTTTAATATAAATTATCTAGGGGCACCTGGGTGGCTCAGTCAGTTAAATACCCGACTTCAGCTCAGGTCATGATCTCATGGTTCATGAGTTCAAGCCCCGCATTGGGCTCTGTGCTGACAGCTCAGAGCCTGGAGCCTGCTTCACATTCTGTATCTCCCTCTCCCTCTGACCCTCCCTCTCCCTCTCCCTCTCTCTCTCTCTTTCTCAAAAACAAATAAGCATTTAAAAACTTTTAAAATAAATTATCTAGACTGCTCACAATTACCAATGTTTTGAAATATAAAAACACCTGAGGGAGGGAGAACTGTGCAGGTTAAAGAAGACCAAAGAAACATGGCGACCAAGTGTAGTCCTTGACTGGATTCAGAATTTAAAAAATAAACATTTTGGGGATGATGTGAGAAATATGAACTGGGGCTATATATCAGACAATATTATTGAATCAATAGTAAAATTCTTTAATATTGGTTAATGGTTTTATCATTATGCAAGTGAATATCTCTGATTATAGGAGACACCTGATGAAACATTTACCAATGAAATGTGATAACTTCAACTTAAGTTCAAACAAGACAGCATATACCTGTCTATCTATCCATGTACAGTTATCTATCTATACACATACATACAGAGAGAGAGGGAGAAAGAGAGAGAGAGAAAACAAATGTTGTAAAATGATAAGTGGAGGGGTGCCTAGATGACTCAGTTGGTTAAACATTGACTCGATTTTGGCTCAGGTCATGATCTCAGGGTTCTGAGCTAGAGACTAGTTAAGATATTCTCTCTCTTTCTCCCTCTCCCTCTGCCCCCCTTCACTCTCTCTCTCTCTC